AGAGAGGCGTGACAGTCTCGTCGCTGCGCGACTCGACCGCCACGCCTCTCTGTACAATAAATCCCTTACAAACGAAAGAAAGTACTGTAAATATAACTTGTGTCATGGTGCGGTAATTTTTCTTTTGATGTTAGCAATACTTTAAATCAGATAAAAAACCTCTGGCTGAATTCCAACGTACTATAACTTCTAGGGGGCGGAGCTTAGCCGTACAATAACTTCCAATATACTGTACAATAACTTCCAAAAGAACTCAGTACTTTTTGAATATTTTTTCTTCAATTTCTGTAAGCATATAAAACTATCCAGAGGAAAAATGAGAAACCTCACATAATTCAACACCCCCCCCCCCCTCTTCAATCTGAAAATGCATATACGTGAAAACCATTTTCAAGAGGATTAATACATGTAAAGTCATTAGTTAACTAATTTAAACAAAAATTTTAAAAATACACAGAATTTCACGAAATACATGTATTCAAATTAAAACAGATAACTGAAATCTAACAATATTGAAAACGCACAGTTTGATTCCCTTAATAGCAACTGTTTTCTGAGGTCTTTGAGTTACATTCAAACTGATACATGTTCGTATATACATGTATTTGGACTATTTCACATTACATTCCATAATTTTGATACCTGTGGCTAGAGTACTTGACTCGGATTTCCTCAGGACATGCAGGCGTATCCATATCAACAGTAATGTGGCGGGTCATAGTGCAGGTGGATCCAGGTTTCCAGTATTGTGCCTGTATTTGTTATGGTTTTTGAAATACTCATACTGCTTAAATTAACCCATCAAATACAATTGCACACTCGTTTAACATTGCTTGATTTTTCAATGCAACCATCTCTTTCGTACTTTCTGCTTTGTTTGAACACCCCGGTGTACGTGCTTACGATGGACCTAGGCTTATGACGTAATGTCGCGAGCAGTTTGGTGCTGAAGGAGTGACTATGCTAATGACCATGACACAAGACATTTACAGACACTTTCTTTCGTTTGTAAGGAATTTATTGTACAGAGAGGCGTGACAGTCTCGTCGCTGCGCGACTCGACTGCCTCGCCTCTCTGTACAATAAATCCATTACAAACGAAAGAAAGTACTGTAAATATAACTTAAAAGTTTAAACTTAATCAAGTTAAACATGTATCTAGAATAGTCTTTTAATGTAAGGGCCCTGTCACACCAAGCTGCGTCCACACGGAGTTATTACGGCGTTGTAAAAATTTTAAAATCGCAGTGGAATCGCAGGGAAATTTTTACAATGTGAAGATGTCACGGCGTCCCTACGGCGACCCACGCATTTCTACGGCGTTCTCGCGGCATGCTACTGCGTTTCCACGGAGATCTCTTCGCGATTGACTGCGCTTCCGCGGAGCTTTTACGGCGTGTTAGGAGTTGTCATCGGCGTTCTCACTGCGCTTGCTGCGTTCACAATACGTTCACAATGCGTTCTTTACTATGGATATATATTCAGAAGGAGTGTAACACATTTTTTTTTAAAGATTCAAGTCAGATGACGAAAAGACTTCTACTTATGCTAAGAAATATTCTTTAATTAAAAATGATCTATTTGAATAATTTAGTACTAAATTACTGACAGTTTTATAATTAAAACCCTTCTTTTTTCAATTATATCAATTCAGATGTGTTTTTTCCTTTGATTTTATTATAAATATAAAAAAAAAATAAACAGACTGAAAAGTTGTTATAAAAAGTAATTCCATCGCAACTCCACTGAAACAACAGAACAAGTTCTGGTGTAATTTTTTGCTTCCCGATTCCATTCCCATGCTCCTGGCCCTGAGTGCAACAAATACGTTAGAATTATTGCTGGTCAAATATGAGGCCATTGCTCTTGTTTTGTGAGCTGGCTGACAACGCTCTAACAACGCCGTGAAAGCGCATTGGGATCGCAAACGGACGCGGTAGAAACGCCAAGGGGGCGCAATGATCGCAGTGACAACTCCTTGTTGTTGCTGTGTAATCGCAGTCAAAAAAAATCCCAAGACAATTTATCTCATTGGAAGCGCCGCAAAAGCGCGATAGAAACGCAGTGACATCTCCAAGGACTCCGCGAGATCTCCGTGGAAGCGCAGTCTTTTATCACTGCGTTCATGCTGCGATCATGTGCGTCTTCACGGCGTGCGTACGGAGCTCCCACTGCGTTGTTGGAGATCTCACCGCGCTGCTACGGCGATCATTCTACGTTTCTACTGCGTTCTTATCAGACGGCGATCACACGGCGCGTACTTTGTGCATGCCCAAAGTACGCGCCGTCCCCTGGCGTTCTAGGAGACCCTACGCGACCCTACCGCGTTCAGTGGAGATCTCGCCGCGTTGTCACGGCGCTGTAGGAGACTCTACTGCGCTCACCTCGGCGTTTTGCATTTTTTATGAACGCCGTGCGATCGCCGTGAGGACGCAGTCCCGGTGTGACAGGGGTTTAACATACATATGTCAGAACAAAAAACAGCTTTTATTCTAATTTTATGGCCATGTATAATCATTTAATTGAACCAGAAAAAAAATTCCTTTACATTAATTGTAGAGTACTTAGGCAGTACTTACATTTTAGATAAATTCTGTACAATCTCTCTCTCTCTCTCTCTCTCTCTCTCTCTCTCGATGAACTCTGCAATCTCGAGATGTGCAAATAAAATAAGCTGCTCTCTCTCTCTCTCTCTCTCTCTCTCTCTCTCTGATATTTACATTACTGGCTATTCTTTGAAGCAGGATACCCTTAAGCCTTCATAAAAATGAAGACCTTCATCCACGAGGTCTGTCCACTATATAGATCAATACGTGATATCGCTTTTCTGACCATTAAAAGCTTTCTGGAGTTTAAGGAAAACTTCAAGCCATCTAATTCCGGAGCCCAGCGATCCCGTTCTTAGAAAATCCATGAAATAACGCACCGAAGAAGAAAATACAAGGATTTCGTGTTTCTAGGGATTTAAATTTCCGGAAGTTAAAACATAATGGGAACTCAGAAGCAAGCATCAGTGCATTTTAGCCATGTCCATTTACCACTAGGGACCGTTTATCGGATGTTTACGTCCTGATCATCCATCATGGGCATCATAATATTAGCAGAAGTTATGATCGGGAACGGATCCAGATTTTCCAAGGTTGGGGTGGGTGGGGTCATTTTTTTTACCTTCAAAAATATTACATTCCGGTATGTTGCACGTTTTGTTTGATTATGATATACATGCAATTTTCAAAAAGATCACAGACCCGTAGCAACGGTTTTCAGAAGGGGGACTCCATCATAAGTTTACTATAGCAAAATACTATACTCAGAAATAGTGCCCCCCCCCCCCCCCCGCGTTCTACGGGCCTGGATCAAAATGCACTTCAATTCTTTAGATATATTTTGAGGCATCATTATAAAAGATTCGGATAAAATTTAAGGTAGGAGGGATGGTCGTCCCCTTGAATTCACTAATAATAAATATTCTATAATATCATTTATGTTATCAAATTCTTTAGAGAAAGCTTGTCCAGTTCTGTGATTTAGCAATTTATCAGTAAGTGTTCCAAGAAATATTTCAAATATTCCAAATTTCAAACAAAATAAAGTGATTTGGACGCATTGGTTCGAGATGATTGTGTGTATGATCTGCTTTCTCGATTGCTTGCTCTCGGAAGATTTATATTACTAGTGTTTCCCTATTGTAACAAGCAATTACCCAGTGCTCGTAAATTTTCTGTTATTGAACAAGGATAAAAACGACAGCTGCACCGAGGGATTATTCGTCATTGAGGGTGAATTACGACCGTTTAAGTAAATCTTTTCTTTTGTGGCACCTGTTTTCGTTTATTAAATATTTGGACACAATTTTTTTTTCGAAATGTTCCGGATTTTCCTGATTTGATTTTAGCATAAATCTTATTTAATGACAATAGATTTTATGTCAATTTAAGGAGAAAAGATACTATGAACGATGTTAAGACATAAATTTGTAAAAAGTTTGTACATGCTTTATTATAACTACCAAAACACATTTATCAATATCTATCCCTCAAAATGAAATAAATTTAATTTAATTCTAATTTACCATATAAAAAATTAATTTGAATTAAAAAAAAAACAAACAAACAAACAAAAAACAAACAAAACAAAACAAAACAAAAAGAACAAAAAAAAAAAACAACCGAAATACAAGTAGCTGAAATTTGGGTATCCTATGACCTTAATTGAATGTGATCTCTCTGTTCAGTGATTCATACATTATCAAGCATATTTTTCACCAGTTGTTTCAAAGTTAGATTAACAAAACTTAAACACTGTAACTTTGTAATGAAAAATGAAAGAAATATTTTTAAAACTAAGAAAAATGAACTTCTTTGAAGGGCAATGTTATTGTGTCGTGTTTTACATTCAAGTATGTTTATCTGAAAGGGAAATTTATACCATTATTTAATTCCCATACGTAAGGAAATAAGTAAATTCTTTACACCGAGATATAACGGCAATTTGGCATATTTAGAGTCGCGAGTGGGTGCCATGATGACAGAACTTTGAAGTGTGTAATTGATAAATATTTTGGTAGTCCTAAATACACGATATCCTGTCAAAAGTCAAGATAAAGTCGCTTGTAAACATTGCAAGTTTAGTGCTTCCCTGTGCTTTTGAAATCTTATCTCGAGGTATAATATGTACATTCAAATAGGATTTCATGTTAATTACAATTCTAAAATGTCCAGCCCCGACTCTTCAGATGAAGAAGGACATTGGCAATAGACAAGCATGTGATGTATCGTGGTCATTGACATCTCAATAGTGTAAGCAGTTCTTTTAAAGTGTTAATTAATCAAAGCAGATTTCAATATTACGACCAACATAGAGAGAGAGAGAAAAAAAGAGAGAGAAAAAAAAATCTTTCAATTAAGAAAAAGTTACAATACAGGTAAAATATACAGAAAAATGAATTTGTATAATTTATATCAAAATTGATATATAATTAAAACAAATAAATCGATTACCTGAAAAGAGGCCCTTCTTCTGTATTTCATGGACTTTGGAATTTCTAATATATGAGGTTTCCTTTTCGTGACGATATAGTCTAAGAAAACTAGGTACATGTATATACACAGATATTAAAATTCTGACTTAAATGTAGCTGGTTGTCGAGTTTTAGAGAAATTTTCCGACCGTTGAACGAAAAAGTCTTATCGATCTGTAACGAAATCACTCTCGCTGCTATCACACGGTTCTTTTATGCTGAGGTTTATAAAAGACCCCCTATATTTACCATGCCTTCAGCCAAATCACTCCGCGCTTCTACGTTAAAAAGTTTTTAGTTTCCGATTAAATTGACATATTTTTTTGTCGAAATTTTTGTTCGCAAATAATTTATTTTTCTGATAAGAGTCGGGTTCGTTGTTACTATAACCATGTCTGGAGAAATACTACTGATTAAATATTGACTTTGCAGGTGTCTCTGTGTGAGTTTTTCTTTATCAGTATTTACATATTTACCGACAAAATACATACTTATCCCACCCCTACACAAGTGTATAGAGAAACGGTCTGGGAACTGATTGTAAAAGTGCACAAATAATCAATCCGTTTGCTTATGCTGAAAATCGTTATGACACGTGTCAATATTTTTTCAGGAGCATGTCATGTTCATTTAATGGTGTTTAGTTTTTTTCCCCTTTTAATTTTCTGCACAGAAATTAGAAAGGTTTCGGAATTTCAATAAATATTTTGTGGTCTATAACAAATTGTTATTCCCAAATATTTATTTTTCCTTATCTAAATCAGAACATTTAATCTTAGTTAAGATCCGGTGCTGGGGCTCTGTATAAATTAAAATGAAGAATGATCCATTGGCATCAAATTTGTGACACGTTTCCAAAACTATGACAACCAACCTCTTTGAGACAGATAACTTTGTATTAAGATACATGTATATGAGAGCCGTCCTTATTTTCAATCCTATTTGCAATAAGCGGCATATTTGAGGTAAATGTATTTGTACGTAATTTTTTTTTAAATACAAAATAAACTTGAAATAATCTTATGCATCGTTGGATCTTAAATTCACACAATTCCACCTACAGTCAGTATTTTGCTACATTTCATTGTATGACATATTTCCTCATGGCAATGAACGATTGATCAACGCATTTTATCTCAGAGGTTGTTTCATTTTCACCACCATTTTTTCTTTCGTGTGATTATAGGAAATATATCGTACATTTTCATCATTACACTCCAATTATCAGTGTTTTTGTATTATCATTTTAAGTCTGCATTTTATTTTGCCGATGTCCACTATCATAATTATGACAATGCCTGAAATGTGTGTTTGAACTGACATATTCTTGATTTTTACGTCATATATATACATGCAGATATGTATGTATCATAAAGGTTTAGAATAAATACTTTTTTCAGCCTTTAATATTATCTTTATCTAGGTATGCTTTAGCATTTTATCCATCTCGTGGCCACCCCGCCCTGCACGGACCTTGTAAGTTATCTTTTTTCATTAAACTACTCCTTTATAATTGACAAAGAACAGCCGAAAATTGATTTTAAAAGGCGGTGTACAGGACAGAGTTCAGCAGGGAAAAATATCAATTTAATTCAGGAGTGATGAAATTGTTTCTCCTTGCCAATTACGTGAGATTGCTTCTTGAAAAACGAACCCCCTCTTTATATCTTGTGCAAGATGTAGAATAATTTAAAAAAAAAATTGTTATTCTATGTAATGTTATGTGACTATGATATTTGATTATAACACTTTATATGATTTTCTACATAGCTCTAGTGCTTTTCTTTGCCAAAGGTGGGATCTAGGGGTAAGGGGGGGGGGGTGTAGAGCATAAATTGTCTGCATCTATTGTCAATGCTGTTGTTTCAGTATCGTTGCAAGCCAATTGTAAGGATTTTCGTTTCTCTACGCTCCCAACAAACCCTTGGCAGATAACTCCACTTATTTCATTTCTTCCTCTGGAACCAATGAAAAGACGGCTGTCATGTTCCATTACGTCATATAAAAAAACAACAGGCGAACAATAATGTCTAAAGGATTTGCTATCACAGACACTTGTTTCGTATACGTAGCACCCCCTACTTATTCTTACCACAAGGTACATGTACCTAACTCAATTGCAGACACCAGCACTTCAAACTCGTATTTAATTAATCTATCATTCATTAACGTACTTTAACAAGACAGTTCGGTCCGAGATATTTTTTTTCTTTTCTATTGAATTGTTCCAAACGTCCTTGGTCGAGCTTCTGTATTGTTAAGCATTCATTGATTCTTCGAAAATTGTATCAAAACATTTTAAGACTTTACAAGGGATACATCAATTTCCGGTTAGGCTTGTGGTGTTGGATAAAACCAGAGGTTTCCGAGCTTTTTTTTTTTCTGAAGTCTCTACATTTACATATCGATTCTAATTATGCAAGTGCCATTCAATGGGAATTTAAATTTTCAAACTGTTTTCTCTTTTATAATTCTTTAAGAGTAAATGTTTCAATATCTCGATATTTGCAAATGAATGACATTTTAGATATTTTCACTTATTTATTTTAAGTCCCTTTATTTCTTAACAGATTTTCAATTTAAGGACATCATGTTTATATAATAGCTAGTCCGATATGATCCTCATCGCTTGTATATAAATGTGAAAAAAAGTCATTTAAGTCAGACTTGATTCTACAGTAGCACCACTATATAAACGAAAGTGCAGGGACTATATTCTATTAAATATCTTTTAATCTATAAAAGCATGTGCGGATCTAAGAGAAGTCTGAGCCCGCTGGAACTTCCAGAGCTATTTAGTTTCTATGTAAAAGTAACGATCTCAAATTCAAAATATCTTCTAAAGCTACAGGAAATGAAAATCACTTCGCTATAAGCGTCAATTCATTATAAGCGTGTTCGCTATAACTGTTTTACTGTAATACCTGAGATATGATAATGACTAGATGCTAGATGTAACATATACATTTATTATACCCCGCTTGAAAATCGGGGAGGGGGGTGTATAGTGATGGGGGTGTATGTCCCTCCGTCTAGCTGTACGTCCGTCCGTTACGCTTTGGGCTACCCATCTCCTAATGAAATGAATGAAATAAATATTTAAGAGACTTTCACAGAATCCTTGTTACATACATGTAGTGCCATTATGTCCTATTTTACTTTTTGATTGGACACATACTTCGGGTTTCTAATAGCAAAACATAGACTGCCATTCTTTTTATCATATTGATGGGTATCCATCTTTTACCCGCAACCCGTCCTATACCAATTAATAGAAATTAATGTTACTTTCACAGAATCTTCATTACATAGTGCCATTGTACACCTCCTATGTTACTTTTTCATACGCCCCTTATATTTCTGGTCTCCCATAGCAAAACATGGCCATTGTTATCATATGGGAGGTGTGGGGTATCGTTTTGTCAGCTCAATGCCTCAGTTTATTTTTTTTCTTTAAGGACATACGCAACGTAGTTTTAACTTTATTGTCTTTTCTCCTGGAGTTGAAGAGTTCCCATACTTAAAGGAACTGTGTGCTCCATTTTATTGACTAAATATGCTTTTGTACACTTCTAAAACAAGTTTGGATAAACAAAACATCTAGAATATATGATCAGTTATTTTTGTATATTTTTTCTCTGAAATATACAAGAATTTCTTCAATTGATATCTTTTCAAAACCCCTGGTCATACATGCTGATTTTTGTCTATGAACATCTGATGGCACTATAATCTTAAATCAAGATTATCTTGAAAAATTATCAGTAGGTAATGTACGTTACGTATGTCCTTAAATTAGGAGTTACATTATTTGAATTACGTTTTAGTTCAGACTTTCATAACTTTTACTCGTTTTCTTTACTAGCTAATTAAAGTGTATTATACTCAAACGTGGTTTATTTTGGAAATGTGGTGTTTTTAAAATTAAAAAGTTAGTTTGCCTGTAAATCTTGAAAAGAAAATAACGAATGACATTGCTGTATTCTTATTTGGTAAAGGATGTTTAAAGGACAATAACACAATTAACACATAATTATGACATCAGTTATTTACCTTTAGAAGTCAGTGTCTCGAAGGGAAAAAAGGTAACTATACGGATAATTCTTCCCAGTTTAATAAACATATTGATGCTACATGTAAATCATTATCTTGAAGGATTTCCGTTTATTACGTAGGATAATGATTTTTCCCCCAATTAGTACATGTACTAGAAAGTTATTATAATGCTCATATTATGTCATTGTTTACTGTTTAACAACGTGCATGAACCTCCAGACTAAGCAGAATTCATAACTTAAAAACATGCAGTTCAGTGCATACTTGATGCTGCCTCAAAAAACCTTTATTTAAAAAAAAAACTTGATTGGCTATCTGTAAAGGCACAATTTCAAATTCTTGTAAATAAGTACATTTTATTGTATGAAACGCTTCCTGGTGTAAGTAAACGTTATTTGTCTAAAATGTTCAATTTTTGATATTTTCAATCCTGTAATTCCTGTCAACAAAGAACTGACTTGTGTATTCCAAAACACAAAACGAAATTGTAATTCTTTTCGATATTCTTTCCTAATATGTTGACGGTGCGACCGTTAGGACGAGCGCAGCTACTTATTCAGATTTAATTTAGATCGGGCTCGTGTGCGTGTAGACTCTGACGTCACATGACGTCTTACATAAGTTGCATTACCAAACCTAAGCCTGAACATTGTTGACTTTAATGAAGAACGTTTTATTTACTATTTATCTGCCATATATCCATTAAATCAAGGCGAGTTTATTTTATTTTTTTTTTTAACTTTTGTTGTTATTCTCGCGAGAGCGTAGCTTAAACAAGCGATGCATTATGGGTCCAGAAGTTACTGCGGTAAAAAATTCGTTTGGATCAATGTGTAAGCCCGAAATTTCTCTTCGCCCAGGCGTTGTCGTTAGAGCTCGCATTGCGAGCGGCGCTTCCCTCGGCTCGCTGCGCTTGCTATTATCTGTTGAACAAGTTACTTTAGATAAATGCATCTCTGAAAATATCTTACTTCAGTAACTGATTTCCTTGGAAGTCGGTAAAGAGAAGTAAAGATTTTTACAGTCTTTTAACCTTGCACTTCCTCTCTTTTCTGATTGGTAGAAAATACAAGATGAGAAAAATTCCGATTATTTCATTGGTTG